GCTGACCCCTTCTGGCTGGGGGAGTGGGCAGGACTGGGTCCCCCTGAGGATGAGATGCCTTCGTTTGGGCTGTGTGAGCACCAGGTCACCCTACCCTGGGCCTCCAGCCACGCTCTGGCTGAGGCAGCATCCCTGTGCCACCCTTTGTGGCTGAGGACCCTGAGCCAGGATGAGGCTGGATGTGGTCCTGGGCTCAAGCTGTGGTTCTGTCCCAGGAGACACTGGCTGTGCTGGCAGAGGGGGTTCAGGTGCTGGGTGCTGGCTTCCCCCAGTCCTCCCTGCAGCAGGTCATGTTGTTGTGAGGTGCCTCCTAGAGGCACACCCCAATTTTGTGCTAGAAGCTCAGAGCAAAGGGAGTCTCTCCTCCGCTGTCCTCACCTTCCTACGTGACCCTTCTCTGCTTGGGGGACCAGGTACATGGCTGGCACCCCTGGTTCACTCAGCTGCAGCATGACCACCCCAAGAGCAGGTGAGTGCCACACACCTCTAACTGATGTCCACCACAGCAGGGGTTCCTGTGCCCACCCCAGACCGCAGTCCTTGGCTTTCAGCTACCCCAGGGCAGGGCCACCAACCCATACTGGGTGCCCAGCCAGCCTCCTGGCTGCAGTGCAGGCTGGGGTGACAGGCTGGTGAGAGTCTTCCCACCGTGAATATCAAATTAAATCCCCCACCCGTCCTGGCTTACTAGCTTTGCCGTCAGGGAGTGAAGCTGCAGCAGTCAGCACGGACACACAACAGGTTTGCTGATGCCTGCAAATCCCTGCCCTGGCTCCGCTCCCTGTGTCTGCACCAGTTGCAGCAGCGCTTGCAGCACCCACCGTGCATTATCAAACCAAGACAGCTGTTCCTGGAGCTGGCTCTGCCCTGGGCTCTCCCCTCTCCCAGAGCAAACTACATTTTTTCCTTCTTTAGCCAATGCTGCCAGCTGTGGGCAAGCAGACCCAAACCACCATCAGCACAGCTTCCTCCAGTGCCTGGGAGGCTGTAAAGCGGCTGGGGCAGAAGGAGTGTGGAGGTACACAGCTCCCTGCCCAGGAGAGCTGAGAGTCAGGCAGCAAGGAGAGAACATGCTCAAACCAACCATTTATTAGGTGTGTCCATTCTGTGCAGCACGTGGAGCCCCGGGCACCCCCTGCGCAGCAGGATGGTGCCTGGCAGCTGGCTGTGACAGCCGGGGCAGCCCCGCCAGGTGCTCTGTCAGTAGGTGAAGCTGGCCTCGTTGTACACAGTGAACACCTTCTCCAGAGCGCACAGGTAGGCAGCGGTTCTGTGGTCCAGACCCAGGTTGTACCTTGCAGCCATGGTCATAATTTGCTAGACAGAGAGGAGAGCTGTGAGGCCGGTGTGTGCTGGGGGGGTCTGGGGGCAAGGGTGGGCACAGAGGACCCAGTGAGGAGGGTGCAGGCAGTGCCACGTGTGCACCAAGCCAGGCCCTGGCAGCACCCAGAGGGGAAGAGGTCACCTCCACACCAAACGACCACGAGGGCTGTTCTGTAAGACCTGGAGCCGTTCATGGGTGAGTCTGGAGATGTTCTCCCACGGCTGTCCTGCAGCAGGCTATACCCCAAGAGTGGACACAGCCATCACTGGGCAGATGAACCCAGACCTCATGCTGACCCACTGGGAGTGGTGACTGGAGGCTGTGGGTGAACACCCCGCAAATCCAGCCCTCTGCAGCCAGGTGAGGGGTCCCACAGCAGGGATAGACGAGACCATGAGCCCATGCAGGTAGCTTGGCTGACTGCTCCATGGTGTAGGCCAGTCCTGAATACACAATGACCTTCTCTGAGGCACCCTGAGGGGGAGAGCAAGTGAATTCTTTGTGGGAAAGGCTCGGAGTTGGCTCCCTCAAATCCATTTATCAAACACCGTGCCTCTGCTTGGTACAAGACTGCCACAGGTGGTCTAAGCTTGGCTTGCCGCCTCTGCAGCTGGCTCCAGCACATGGCACGGCTCTCAGGGGCCCGCCCGCCCCTGCAGCTGGCCCCAGCAGATGGCACGGCTCTCAGGGACCCCCTGCAGCCCCTTCAGAGGGTAAGGCTGTTCCACCACACAGGGCATCTCTACTCCACTCTCTCTACTAGTGGAAGGTAGCACAGGGGAGGCTCTGTGTGTGCCACAAGCTCAGCTTTCAGCACTGCAACAGCAGACAGAGTGTCTGGGAATGTGAAACAAATAAGCCAGGACCATTCTTCATGATTGTAGGCACTTACAGTCACACGGGCCTGAAACTCTGGGGATGGGATGATGGGGATCTCCCCTCTGGCCTTGCCAAACCACTGCTCCAGGCTGTGCTGCACTGACTGCAGGAGGCGGTAGCTGGATTCCCGCTCATACTTGAAGCTGAGGCGACCGTAGCTAACATGGTTCAGGTTCTTCAGCCACTCGAAGAAGGATACGGTCACACAACCCGCATTCACATACACATCCTGCCAAGGGCAGCATGTGCTTCAGGTTTGCTGCTTAGAGTGACCCAGAGGCCCATGACTCATCCAGGAATTTCTCCTCCTTTGCTTTGGGTCCCTCCCCATACCCTTGGGCTCTGCCCTCAGAAATAGTCCTGACATTACTGGGATGGCTGAATCCCTGACCTACGGAGGCTCTGCACTGCCTCTGAGCGGAGACACCAGCTGCTCTGACACCCTGTGTGATGTGGCACAGTTTGCCATTGGCCCATGAGCGGCCACGGGACATCGCAGTGCTGGCCAGGAGCCCTGTGGTCCATCATTGCTGCAGCCAAGAACTGGGAGGGTTTAGAAGGGAAACCAGCACCCACGGTCTGCTCAGGAGCCGAGTGCAAGGCAGGGAACAGGCTGCCTGATCCCAGACCCCAGCAGAGCCCAGCTGGATTCACATCAGTGCAGCTGGCAACACTGTGTGGCCCTAATAGCCACAAGTCCATTATCTCCTCTTCTGAGTGGGGATGGACATACTGGGATGACCAGGGTGTTTCTTTGCAGAAGTATCTCATGCGCTGCTAGTGTTGTGGGGCCGTTGGCAGCTTCTGCAATAATCTGGGAGCACAAGCAGAGCAGAGGTGAGATAGGTGGTAGAAATGAAAGAAGAAATCAGTAACTGGCTGCTTTCCCTGCTGCTGGGATCCTGTCCACCAGGGACACTTCTGGTGTGGAGGGGTCTAGGCACTTGCCTCCCCACCAGAGCTGTTCAGGACAAGACAAAATTCAGACCTCTTGTTTCACATAGAATGATTAAAGACGCAGGCTGCAAGAGACCTTGGCTGTGACAGAGTCCCAGGTCCTAGCACACCCTGTCCCTTTTGTCCATAGAGCTCACAGGGAGGCGACGAAGCTGGTGTTTGTAGCAGTTCCTGCTTCACTCACTCTTATCTACTGTCCATGATTTTCAGCATCAGCACTTCGACCTTCCAGAGTATGATCTCCTTTGCCCCGGGAGGAGGATCTGGTACTGCAGTGAAGACCAAGGAAGCCAGGAGAGCCAGCCAAGGTTACTCCAATGATCCTTGCTCCCTGCCAGCAAAGGGAAGGGCTTAGGCTTTCCTCTTCCCCTAAATTACATGACCTGCCACCTCTGCCTCATACTCTGTCCCTCTAGTACAGCAAGTTGAGTTGTCAGTACATTGATGTGACACCTCCCTGGGATGTCAAGTTCCAAAAGTGAAGGTTTGGCTGGGCTGCCACCACTTGCACACCAACACAGGGCTTTGGAAGTGTGTTGCAAGTGGTCTGTACCTTTGCTTGCACCCAGGGTGCATTCTCCCTTGTAAGCTGTTTCTCAGTAGCAGCCGGGATGAGGATGTCACAGGGTACCTCCAGGATGCTGCCATGATAGGGCTCTGCATTCGGGAAGGCAACTGTGGTGCTGTGGACCTGGAATGAGCAGGATCCTGCTGGGCCCAGCCTGGCAGTGTGTTGAGCACTGCCCTCAGAGCTAGGCTCTGCAGGACATGAGGGACAGCCCTCTTCTCCATGATGGGCACTAACCATTGCTGTCTAAGAACAGAGGCTGGGCTGACTGGGCTCAACTCACCTGCTCATAGTCTCCCAGCTCCTTGGGGCCAATCCCTTTGGGATCGTAAATAGCTCCATCCAACTCCCCAACACAGATGCAGTGGGCTTCGTATTCGTGCAGGTACTTCATGGTGTGCAGCCCCACTTTGCCAAAGCCCTACAGCAACACAGAGCCGAGATGGTCAGAGGAGAAGGAAATCCTGAGGACAGACACTGAAAACTGACCTGCTGCTGTGGTAACAGCCCCTTCCCATGAGTCTGAGCTGAGAAGCACAAATAGGAACCCCTGATCTAGCAGTTCTGCGTGAATGTTTTGGCTGGAAGGAGACAAGGACCTGGCAGGACAGAGATCTCCTTGGCTAGTTAAAAGGTTGTGAAAAGCAGAGCCTGTGGACTAAGGGCTTCCAGCTCAGCCTGTCTTTGTCACCTCCAGAGCTCCTGGACATGATGTTCCAAGCATATCATGCTGTTTAGTTTCTATGAGACAATCCCGACAGAAGACAGATCCAGTGAGAAAGACAGTCACTTGGTGGGCACCACACAGCATCTAGGCACAATCTGAGCAATCCTCCTGCACTTCACTCTGAGGGGCTGCAATTGGCTGCCACGGCACCAGGCAGGGCCATGGGGGTAGCTCAGCATTTCACCTCTGCCCCAAGGTGCCTGCCAGCTTGGTACCGCTCCTAAAAGCAACGCTGGTTCCTGAGACTGCAAAACCAGCCCCCAAACACAGCAAAATTATACACACGGCAGCCAAGGGCTTCATCATCTCTGCTGTATCAGCGAAGCAGGAGGATGTGCGGAAAGGAAAGGGATGAGCAAAGGCAGGGCTGTTCCCGAGGGCGCTGCAAGCAGCAGCTTCGGGGGACGCCCCGGTTTA